TAAGCACTCAACTTGAAAATGTAGTTAGCATATATATATATATATATATATATATATGATTTTTAAATATTCAACACAACTTTGTTGGAAAAAGAAGTTTGCCTTCTAAATTTTACGACTTAAAGTATACCTAATCAACGACAGAAGCTAGCTTCATCCAACAGGGTGGCTCCACAAGAGTTGTTTCTTTTTCAACTATGAGATTAGCAGTCGCGAGAAAGAATCGTTTACCAGCAGTGTCTTTCGATAGGATCTAACGTGCCCCGGGTTTGCATATATTTTCTTCTGTGTGATTCGTGTTCAAAAGTATGAAATGCTCTCAACGTTTTAGTTTTAGGCTTTTTGAAAAAAGCATTTGACTGCACGTTGTAGTCGGATGGGTTCTACAATCTTTTGCGAGAACAACATCAGATGAAATGAAATAATTTATCACGGGCTCACTAGATGTGACAATGCCACAAAATTGTTGGCTATCCAAAACTTCCATTGAGCAAATTTTGGCGCAGAGTTCGTTATTGGTTTCGGCAGTCTTTCAAATAAAATTTATTCAAATAATAAACATCGCAGGCGTAGTAAGATAAAACATTCCGGGCGCAAGCTGGTGGGGTTTCTCATGGGGGATAGAGTTGGTAAATTGCTGAATGTTGGTTGAAATTGTACACTCGAAATATGTACGCCTTATGTAAGAATCTATTTGCATACCAGTCGCGCGGAAAACAAAAAGGGTTGTGAACCGCAAATTTCTCTCTCTTTCTTACGTGAAACATTAAGAAACGCATATTTCCACGAAATAACTTTGAGGTAGGCAATTAAAGTACCTAGCTATAGGTCACCTTGACATGCATAACTGAGGCATTTCAAGTACTTTAGAAGTGTGCATCATTTCGTTTTTCGAGCAAGCAAGCTTTCTTTCTCATTAAGAAGTCATTGGTATTTAAAAACACCGTTAATGCATCTGCTTCATTTTGCGATCACATACTCAGTTTAGATCTAGGGTTGTCGATATTTTCCGATAGAATTCCAGCTCAAAACTTGATTAAACTTGCATCGTAAGATTAAGCAACATAATTCCAATAACGTCTTTGGCAAATACCAAAGAGTTCAATTGCCAACGGTTTTTAGGACACAAGATTGACGCACATGTCTTTAAAATATAAACGCTATTTACTTGAGTAGACGTCATCCCTACTTGTTCATTTTCTTTGAGCTGAACACTTAACTTTCATTGCTTAACCAAAGATAT